ACTGACCATCTGAGAAATGCAAATCAAAACCACAATGAGATACCATCTCACACCAGTTAGAATGGCAATCATTAAAAAGTCAGGAAACAACAAGTGCTGGAGAGGATGTGGAGAAATAGGAACATTTTACACTGTTGGTGGGATTGTAAACTAGTTTAACCATTGTGGAAAACAATATGGTGATTCCTCAAGGATCTAGAACTAGAAATACCATATGACTCAGTCATCCCATTACTGGGTATATACCCAAAGGATTATAAATCATGCTACTATAAAGACACATGAACACGTATGCTTATTGTGGCACTATTCACAATAGCAAAGACTTGGAATCAACCCAAATGTCCATCAGTGACAGACTGGACTAAGAAAATTTGGCATATATACACCATGGAATACTATGTAGCCATAAAAAAGGATGAGTTTGTGTCCTTTGTAGGAACATGGATGCAGCTGGAAACCATCATTCTCAGCAAACTATCCACAAGAACAGAAAACCAAACACCATGTGTTCTAACTCATAGGTGGAAACTGAACAATAAGATCACTTGGACACGGGAAGGGGAACATCACACACGGGGGCCTATTATGGTGAGGGGTTGGGGGTCGGGTTGTAATGATAGTTATACCTGATGTAAATGACGAGTTGATGGGTGCAGCATATAAACATGGCAAATATACACATATGTAACAAACCTGCACGTTGTGCACATGTACCCTAGAACTTAAAGTATATTTTTAAAAAAAGATTTTAAAATTAAAAAAAAAAAAATCTCTAACCCCTGATCCACTAGGGAGGCTGATTTGAGTAATAATATACCTCCGTCCTCCTATTTGGCAGACTTGGAGTCATTAATATCTTTCTTTACTGCAAATCACTATCTGGATTAATTGGTTTTGTTTGTGCAGGAGGCCAGAAAAACATGTCTGGCAATTATAAGAATGGATGGAGGAGCTGCCTATCCCTGTCCCACGGTCTTGTGCACAGATCAGCCTCACAAAGGGACAGAGCCCTGGGTGGGGATACAGTGGAAGCTCATTCTCTTAGTGACTTGTGGACATTGGCTCGAGATGAAGCCTGGCAGGAGTGGTAACTCCAGGTCATTTCTATACCTTTCCTATTACCTGGGAGGTGAACCATTCCACAGTGTTAGCAGGAAGGGAATACAAGTCAGCCTAGTTAGAGGGAGTGTCTGGGGAAGGCCTAGGGGTGGAGGAAGAAGCTGTGCAGGACAGGGCTTGCCAGTTAGAATGAAGTGGGAGGAAGATGAGGGACACAGAGAAGCAGAGAGAGGCAGAGACAGCATGGCAGTGAACAGTGGGGGCTACAGTGACTTCAGAGACCCCAGGGACCAGGTGCCCCAGTTCAACAGTCCAGGACCAGGGAGCCCTGAAAACCCTCCAGTGGCCAAAGGGTTTCAACTTACATGAGGTGGGGTGTCTTTAGGGGCAAGAGGTAGTAGAGGGATGAAAGATGGGTGTCAGCCTCTGAAGGACAAGGGAAAGGTGTGGCCTAGACCTCCTAGGATTCTGCATCTGAGATCCAGTCTCTAAAGAGGTTATGGATCATCCATTTCTTCATTCAATTCCTTCATTTGTTATGTGAGAGCACCTGAGTGTGTGTCTCTCACTGGGCCCGTGTTGGTGCAGGGTGTGAGTGGGGAAAGAAAACAAGGTCCTGTCCTTTATCCTGTTATGCCAGTGACATGGACACTTTGGGAAACAGGATTTCAGGTTCAGTGATAGGGGTTAAGATCTGAGGGGGAGGCTTGGACATTTTTTGCATTGACTCTGACAGTTGAGGCAGGTGATTTAGTTCTGGAGAACAGACTAATCAGCTGACCATTTGCTCTCACTCCTCTGAAGTTTGGATGCCGAAGATGAGAGGATTTGAGCCAATAAATGACTACGGGGTCCTTGGAACCCAGTAATTCCTCACTTCTGGTGGAGGAGAGGATGGGCCTGTGGCTGCAGACAGACCTCATGTGACCCTGATCTGCCTTTTGTGTTTGTGTGACTCTGGTTCAGTGACTGTGCCTTCCGGTGCCTCAGTTTTCTCTCAGTCAAATAAGCTAAATAGTGAATGGACTGTGGCTTTTCATGCTATCTGTGAATAAATTGTAAATTCTACACAGTCACCTGATCTAATGCTTGGTACAGTGGAGGTGTTCACACAAACAGCATTTATTATTATTCACTTCCATGACAGAGCAACTTTAGGTCAGATCCTTGTGGATAAGTTGCTGCCAAGTACATTTTCTCTCTTCTGTTTCTGCTTCTGGGGACATTAGACTTTCTATGGAGTGTCCTAAGCCTCACAAGGCAGTTGGCCTATGGCCTACAAAGCTTGTCTTTCTGTCCTCTCCACTCTGAGTGTCAGGTGAAGAAAGCTCTGTCCTTGCCCAGATGAGGCTCTGAGGGCTGAGCCCTGGCTGGTGAGCAGCTCCAGGAGACACAGTCCTCAGACAGCTGGTGAATCCTTGGTCCCAGTAAGCCCTGCCACAACTCAGCGCTGGCACAGGCTCCTCAGCTTTATCTGGAGTAAGGATTTAGGGACAGCGGTCTGGTGTTGAGGTTTCTAGGGCTGAGCTTCTCTGAGAGTATCTCAAGGGGCCTCTTAGGCAAAGCCCTACTCAGTTCTCCAGGGTCTTTCTCAGGGTCAAGTTTATGAAGACGGCAGGAGGTGCTTGGCTGAGACTGATCTCCTCCTGCTGAACAGCTCCCCCCCCCATCAGAGTGTCATTCCTGTGCAGCAAGTGTCTGCAGGGTCTGGAGGCAGGAAAGGAATTCTGATCTGCTGAGGTTTGTCTCCTCTGTGTGTGTCCTGCACTAAATGCCGGAACCCAAACATGGGACATAATGCAGAGAGGGACACAGGCAGTCCAGGCCTGACAATCCTGTGCGTGCAAAGTAGAAGTGACCCCCACCCCCCAACACCCAGGGATCATGTGGAATCACTCACGGTATAAGGTGAAATGTCCAGTTACTCCTTTAGTCCCATCACCTCGCTTTGTGATTTGAATGGTGTAGGATCCTGTGTCATTCTTGGTGACATTCTGGATCAACAGGGATGCATTGGAATATACTGTTTCTCGTCCACTGTATGCAGGCCCAAATATAATCATTTCAGTGTCTGTTGTATATGCTGCAATGTAATGCTGGAGGTCCATTATTTGCCCTTTGTACCACCTGTAGCCAGTAAGATTCTGGGGCAAATTGTAGACAAGTAGCAGAACATCCTTTCCCTCAGAAACTTTGGTTGGCTGTGCTTCAATCGTGACTTGGGCAGTGGTGAGCGGGTTCCAGAAGATTAAAAGTGATGCTAGGAGGTGGAGAGAGCATCAGTCAATATTGAGACCTATGTATTGGGGTAAAAAGATGGGGCCCTGGGTCCTCAGAAGATCTCTTCAGTCATCTGCCTTGTAGACACACACACACAAACACACACACCCCTCTTTGTGTGTATGTGTGTGTATTGTGTTTTTGTCCTACTGTCCTACTGGGTCAAGGTCAGCAGCACGACCCCCATTCATTCAACACTTCTGACCTCGGCATTTTTCTCTTTGAAATCCTCTTCCCCAGGGATCTGCATGGCTCCCTCCACAACACCCTCACGTCCTGCTCACATCAGGGCATCCTTAGACTTCTTTCCTGACACCTCCTTCAGAGACCCTGGGTCTTCCCTTTCTGACCTTTCCATGCTCTGCTCCCTCCGGAGCTCTTGTCAACACCTGATATCACATTCCAGATCTCTTTGCAGGTCTGTCTTCCTGCCCATGAGAGCATGAGCTCTGTAAGGACAGAGATGTTTGTGATCTTGGTTGCACCCCGGTGCCTGGGACAGGCTGCAGACTCCTGCAGATGTGAGGGTTCCCAGGGACCTCCCAGCCAGGGCTATTTTTTTTCTTTCCCCCAATTGTTGAGGTATTTTGCTGAGGACAGTGTTTCATGTCCTGCTTATATTTTCATCTGAAGTGTCATCCGATAATAATTATTATCATTTTTCAAAATATGGTGGCCAGTGATGATTAACCAGGAGAACAGAACACTTGAGATTTTCCTACCTATTACCAATTCCAGTTCAATGTGATTTTTCTGTTGTGACCCTGTCCCTATCTGGTATATTTTCCCCAATCCAGGCTCCAACAGAGCCTTCTTTCCTTTATTTATTTATTTTTTTTTTTCTTTTTGAGATGGAGTCTCATACTGTCTCCCAGGCTGGCATGTAGTGCCACGATCTTGGCTCACTGCAACCTCTGCCTCCCAGATTCATGCAATTCTCCTGCCTCAGCCTCCTGAGTAGCTAGGATTACAGGAGCTCACCACCACACCTGGTTAATTTTTTCTGTTTTTAGTAGAGACGGGGCTTCACTGTGTTGACCAGACTGGTCTTGAACTCCTGACTTCATGATCCATCCACCTCAGCCTCCCAAAGTGCTGGCTTATTTTATTTTTTAGAACCCCATCCTCTCCAGGAGACCCCATCCAATCATTCTGCTTCCTCCTCCTATCCTCTCCCAGGAAGTTCTCTCCTCACCTGTGAGTAGAAGCTCCTTCCAGGTGATGTGCAGTGTGCAGGGAGGCGCTGAGAGGGGCCCCATGGCCTGCTCCGCCTGTGTGTTCTCCTCTGTGGAGATAAGTCTGGGATCCAGAATCTTTCCGAGCACAGCTGTCAGCTGTGCTGTCCTTCCTCCTTCTGTGCTGAGCCTCTTCCCGGGGCAGGAGCACTTCTCAGGCTTATGGGCGGGGTCTGTGCCCAGGTCACCTCTCTATCCCCTCCCCTCTCAGTCCTGCCTCTTTGTCCCTTCTTCTCTTCTTCCTTTTGTCTGTGTGTCAGGTCCCTGGGAATTGTGGAGGCCTCTGTCTTTTTCAGCAGTGATTTTGTCACCAAACCTCGCTACACACTATGTTCAAAACCACAAACATACACACAAAAGAGACACGTACAGACACACAGAGTCACACACATACCCTGTAGGTTGGGCAAGCACAGTTCTGGGCCTCAGCCTCCTGCTGTCCCAGTGGCTCTGGGTCAGCGTGCACATTCACACCCCTTGCCCTCTTTCATCCCCATCTGGCTCTCCCCTTCAGTGCAGGAGGCTGGAGCTGCATCAGGTCCCTGTTATCGGGACACCACATTGTGCTGTGGGTGAGCTCCGTGTTGCCTGGTGACGGGGACCCTTCCTTTCTATAATTATGTCTCGCTTGGCTGCAAATTCCAAGGATGGACATTCATGACCTGGGTGTCCCGGAGGAAACTGTCCTTCCTGGAGGTGTGCAGGGTGAATCTCTTATGCCTCTTGGGAGGAGAGGCATGTGCTGGTTGCTTAGTGGGGGCTGTAACTCCCATGGTGAAAGGGACAGTTCTCAGTCACTCTGTTGCTCCCTTGGGACTGGTGGATGGGTTTCTCATCTCTTCCTGACCATCTTTGGTATCCTCTCTTCCCTGGGCGTCTGATTGTCCTGTGGTCACCACACCTTCCCCGTGGTGATGAAGGAGGAAGTGGGGAGTTACCCAGGAACCCCGTGGAACATGGCTCGTTGAGATACGGAAAGGGGAGCCTGGGATAGAGCAGGGATTCAGAGCTGGAGAGATTCATCCAGACTTACTCCATGGACATGATGGGCTCAGTCCTCCGTGTGCTGACATACCCAGGGGTCTGTCCTGAGGGTTTTGACCTGACCAAGATGCTCTCTGTAGAGGAGTAACAGGCAGTCACCAGAGAGCCTCTCTGGAGGGACGTCGCTCACACCTGAGAAGGCGGATGGGGGTGAGTTGTGTTCTCAGAGCAAAGAGCAATAATACCCCCTTCTCCCGACAGGGACACAGGAGAGGTCTGCTTCCCAAGGGACAGCCGGGGGTAGGTGGACACATCCTATGTGTTGCCTGTGTGTGACCGTCACAGGCGCTCTGAGCCCCATGGGGTGCAGCAGGCAGGCAGATCACAGGGTGCCTGACTGATTCCCGGGGAGGCTGTGGGCCTTCAGGCAGCAGCTGTTCTCTGTCAGCACTAGGCTTGGCCTAGGATGCCCCATAGAACAGGACAGATGGAGCAGAGGCGGGCATTTAGGGAGGAGTGACAGAAAGAGTTGATGAGGATGGAGGGAGGTCACCAGGGGAAAGCGCGCAGTGCGGCGTCGCGTGCACCAGTGCTGCCCTAGGAGATGTCTTTTTAACTGAGCCCAGGGAAGGAGCAGGTGTGTGGGGCAGGAGCTGCCTGCAGAGGGAGTGGTGTTATGTTTGCGGACGCCAGATCAGGGAGGAGCTGACAGAGTCCGTGTGGGGAGCATGGAGGACGTTGAGGACTTGGGCAGAGGTGTCCCTGGTGAAGGTGGACCCTGCTTGGCTATGGGTTCTGCTGAGGGACGTCGGCATCCCCTGGGAAGGCTCCAGGCTGGAGGGACTCTGCCGCCCTCTGGTGGACTGGAAGGGAAGTGTGGGTGGCCGAAGTCCCAGGCCAGGCTACGTGTTTTATTCCGCAAGGTTCTGCACGTTTCTAACGAGGTCACACATATGCTATGTTACGGCAGCATCACCTTCCAGTCCTGTGAGTCCCAGTCTCTGTGGCTCTACATTCACCGTTCTCCCTCTTTCACGATCGGATGTCCCGAATGCAGACTTTTGTCACCTTCAGTGAGTTTGTGTGTGTGTGCAGTAGGTGGCACTGTGTATACCTTGGGGGCAGTGATGTCTGGGGCTGAGCACTGCACATGGGCTTGGGAGCAGAAGACGGAGCAGCAGGGTGGGAGGATCAATGCCAGGGAAGCAGGGACAAGTCATTTTCATTTTCTCACTCGCAGGGACCAGAACCCAGGATTCTGACTCCAGGGCGCAGTAGCACACCCTGCTGGTGTCCCTGGATGTCATGAGTGCTCATAGTGTCATGTTGCCTTGGCATTCACTTTTTAAAGTGTAAATTTATTTACCTCACATCAGAGGCAGGCCTTGCTCACCATGGCAGTTTTCAATACTGTATCTGGTTCAAGTGACTGCAGTTGGTGGCCAGCGATAAAATCTAAGAGGCATCTCTCCTGCTTGGTGTGCTGGGCTCCTCTCTCTCCATCTGATTTCTTTAAACTGATATTCTGACATTTGCCCTTACATTTAAAGTGACCACTTCTCAATCACAGCGTGATCTCCTGATCCCAGTGTTTGCTACTTGCTTTAAACACATCCATTAAACCTCCCTGCTGGAAACCTGTCAGATAACACCTGGACTTACTAAAGACATCGGCTTACCGGTCTCTTCTCTCCTCCCTGCCTGGGCTCGCTGACCTCTGTATCTGTGGTCTCCAGGTGTGCTGAGTGCTCCCCAGTGTCTGTAAGTAGTAAAAACACTTACACTTTCACGTTGTGGTTGTATCATTATAGCCTCACATGCCATCCAGGGCTTGACATCGAGGCTGCCCTATGGGACCTGTGCTTGTTGAACCCCTGCTGGAGCTCTTGTTTTGGGACCTGCAGTTCTTCTGGCGGCCGGAGCTTCCAGCTAACTTGATTGAAAAAGTGTTACGTTTCATGGAAAACACTGGGTCAGATGATGTATTCATGGACTTCAGCTGCCATAACAAACACCTTAGCCTGGGTGAATTAAATAATAGAAATCGATTTTTCACAGTTCTGTGAATAATGTGCTATTTTAACCACTTTAAAATGTGCAATCAAATGCAATTCACCACATACACAGTGTGAAGTTACCATCACCACTATTTTTCCTAGAAAATTTTTATCATTTTAAACTGAAACCTTGTATAATTAAAACTATAATAACTCCTTGTATTTTCCACCCTAGACCTTGATCATCTCTACTGTGTCTCTGTGAATTTGCCTATTCTTGATGCTTCATATAAATGGAATTATATATATATGTTATTTAGTTTCTGACATATTTCACTTAGCATAATGTTTCCAAACTCCATGCATCTTCCAGTGGATGTCAGAGCTTCATTCCTCTTTATGGCAGATTAACATTCTGTTGTATGTGTGACCACATTTGTTTATTCATGTGCTGATGAACACTTGGATTGTTTTCATATTTTCTCTTTTGTGAGTAATGCTACAATCAACATTCCCATGCGAGTACCTGTTTCAGTGCCTTGATTCAATTCTTTGGGTATATACCTAGGAAAGGATGCTGTTTCATATGAGAATTCTATGACTAGCTTCTTGAGGAACAGCACAACTGTTTCTCCTAGTGGCTGCACATTTTTATAATCTCACCAGCAATGTATGAGGATTCCAAATTCTATGTCCCTCTTGATGATTTGCATATCTTCTTTGAAGAACTGTCTATTTGTGTCCTTTGCCCATTTATATAAATTGGGAGGTTTGTCTCTTTGTTATTGAGTTGTAGCAGTTCTTTATATATTCTGGGCACAAAACCATTGTCTATGTGATTTGCAACTGTTATGTGTCATTCTGTGATTGGTCTTTTTATTTTCTTGATAATATCCTTTGATGCACAAAAGGCTTGCATCTTTAGCCAAATTTATCTGTTTTTCCTTTTTCTTTCTCATGCACTTGGGTCACACCTGAGAATCCATTGCACATTTGAGGTCATTAAGTTTTACCCCTATGTCTTTTTCTAAGATTTTTTTGTGGTTATAGATCTTATAATTAACTCACTCATCCACTTTAAGATAATTGTTTGATATGGTTGGAAGCATAGTTCTCTAAGTTTATTGCTTTGCATGTGGTTATCTAGTTGTTTCTGCGCCATTATTTGAGAGGATGATTGTTCCTCCATTAAATTATCTTGACATCCTTATTCAAGAGAAATGAACTATAAGGGTGAGGGTTTACTTGTGGACTCTCAATTCTATCCCTTTGGTCCCTATTTGTATT